GAGGGGGGAGGGATGGAGAGAGAGAGAGAGAGAGAGAGATATCAATGTGAGAGAGAAATGTTGATTGTTGCCTTCTCTCCCCCTTACAATCCTGAAACCCAGGTATGTGCCCTGACTGGGAATCAAACCAGCAACCTTTCAGTGCATGGGACGATGCTCAAGCAACTGAGCCACACCAGCCGGGGCTATTGTTTTTTTTTTTTTTTTTTTTTAATGCAAAGAAAAATAACAAGTGTTGGCAAGGATGTGAAGAAATTGGAACCCCGTGCATTGCCAGTGGGTGTGTAAAATGGTAAAGCCAAAGCCACTGTGGAAAACAGTACAGAAACATAGAGTGACTGCATGACCCAGCAATTTCACTTCTAGGTATAGACCCATAATAATTAAAAGCAGGGACTCACGCCCTGGCCAGGTAGCTCAGTTGGTTAGCGTGTTGCCCGGATACGCCAAGGTTGTGGGTTTGATCCCTGGTCAGGGCACATACAACAATCAACCAATGAGTGAATAAATAAGTGGAACAACAAGTCAATATTTCTCTCTCCCTTCCTTTCTTCCTAAAATCAATAAAAATTTAAAAAATCAACTTGAACGAATACATAAAACATTACAGTCAACAATGGCAAAGTATACATTCTTTTCACGTGTACGTGACCCTTTCAGGTGGCTTCTGGTTTCCGGTTTCACACATAAGGAGCTTGGAAATCGCCATTCAGTCTTCACGATTAAAAAGCTGGACAGCCCTAGCCGGTTTGGCTCAGTGGGTAGAGCTCGGCCTGCAGACTGGAGGGTCTCAGGTTCGATTCTGGTCAAGGGCACATGCCTGGTTGTGGGCTCAATCCCCAGTGGGTGGTGGGGGGGGTGTAGGAGGCAGCCGATCGATGATTCTCTCTCATCATTGATGTTTCTTTCTCTCTCTCCCTCTTCCTTTCTCTCTGAAATCAATAATAATAATAATAATAATAATAATAAACTGGACAGACTGAAAAATACGCAAGTCTGGACTGCTGAGAGAGGTGAGGACACAGGGCAAAGACTGGAGAGACTGACAGGCGAATAGGTGCGGAGAATAAACCTACCCGAGCAGAAACAGCTGCGGGAACCAGTGCCCCGGGCAGGGAAACCAGGCCTGTCATTGACAAATTGCTGGAACCTGTGTGTGGACAACTCCAAGAGTTAAACATGCCAGCAGGTCCCAGTCATAGGAGGACACCCCCCGACCCCCAACACACACACACACACACACACACATCTCACCACCACAGTCCTCAAAGCCTAATTAGTTCCTTTTATCCAGTACATCATGTCTGGCTATCAAGAAAAAAATTACAGCCCTGGCCGGTGTTGCTCAGTGGTTGGAGCATGGGACCTTGAGCCAAAGGGTCTCAGGTTCAACTTCTGGTCAAGGGCATGTACGTAGGTTGTGGGTTTGATTTCTGGTTGGGGCACAGGCAGGAGGCAACTGGTCAATGTGTCCCTTTCACTTCTATGTTTCTCTCTCTCTCTCTCCCCCTCACACTCCCTCCCTCCCTTCCACTCTCTAAAAAGCAATGGAACAGCCCTAGGTGGTTTGGCTCAGTGGATAGAGCATCTGCCTGCGGACCGAAGGGTCCCAGGTTTGATTCCGGTCAAGGGCACGTACCAAGGTTGCAGGCTCCCGGCCCTGGTCAGGGGCATGCCGGAAGCAACCAATTGATGTGTCTCTCTCACATTGGTGTTTCTCTTTGTCTCTCCCTCTCCCCCTACTCCAGTGGTTCTCAACCTTCTGGCCCTTTAAATACAGTTCCTCATGTTGTGACCCAACCATGAAATTATTTTCGTTGCTACTTCATAACTGTAATGTTGCTACTGTTATGAATCGTAATGTAAATATCTGATATGCAGGATGGTCTTAGGCGACCCCTGTGAAAGGGTCGTTCGACCGCCAAAGGGGTCGCGACCCACAGGTTGAGAACCACTGCCCTACTCTCTCTAAAAAATCAATGGAAAAAATATCCTCAGGTGAGGATTAAAAAAAAAAAAAAAAAAAGCAAAAGCAATGGAACAAATATCCTCAGGTGAGGATTTTTAAAAAATGACAAGACATACCAAAACACAATTTGAAGAGACAGAATGAGCATCAGAACCAGACATGGTGGGGATGTAGGAATGATCAGACCTGGAATTTAAAACAACTATGATTAATATATTAATTTACTCTAATTGGATAAAGTAGACAGCATGCCCCTGGGGCACAACCAAATGTGCTGGGCGCCAGGACAGATACCACAAATTCCATCATTATCATGTTAATTGTTCCTGTACCCACCTAAGTATGTGTCCATCATTTTTCTTTTTATCCAATCCCAGGGGTTCCCCCCACCCCCAGCTTTGCTTTCTCCCGCCTCTCTAGTCTATCACCAATGGATTTCATGTAATGCACCTACGTCCCTTCTTTTGATTACAATGTATAAATACAGATGTAACCCGCCGTCCTCCGGAGCATTATCTCAATTCGTTGAGGTTCTGCTTCCCGGCATATGTCGATAGTTTGGCTCAAATAAACTCAAAAAAATTCAAAAGAAATAATAAAATTAAAAAAAATAAAGTAGACAACATGCAAGAACAGGTGGGCAATGTAAGCAGAGAGATGGAAATCCTAAAAGGGAACCAAAAAGAAATGCTAGAGATTAAAAACACTGTCAGGCCTTAGCTGGTTTGGCTCAGTGGATAGAGCATCGGCCTGCGGACTGAAGGGTCCTGGGCTTGATTCTGGTCAAGGGCACATGCTTGGGTTGTGGGCTTGATCCTCAGTAGGGGGTGTGCAGGAGGCAGCCGATCAATGATTCCCTCTCATCATTGATATTTCTCTCTCTCTCTTCCTCTCTGAAATCAATAAAAATATATTTTAAAAAAAATGCTGTCAGGAGAGAACCAGGACGGCAGCTTAGGTAACCGCCAGTACTCGCCACCTCCCACAACCACATCAAAATTACAACTAAAATACAGACCAACCATCATTCAGCACTGGCTGAAATCTGGCTGAATGGAAGTCCTACAACTAGAGCCAAACCAGCCAGGACAATTGGCATTATTTTTATTAGGAGTAAAGTTGAACTTCTTTTCATATAGTTAAGGACTGTTCATATTTGTTTCTCTGTGAACTTTTTCTTAATTTCTTTTGCATATTTTAAAACATTGGGCTTTTTCTTTTTTAAAAATCTTTATTGAGCCCTGACTGGTTTGGCTCAGTGGATAGAGCGTTGGCCTGAGGACTCAAGGGTCCCGGGTTCGATTCCGGTCAAGGGCATGTACCTTGGTTGCGGGCACATACCCAGTAGGGAGTGTGCAGGAGGCAGCTGATCAATGTTTCTCTCTCATTGATGTTTCTAACTCTGTCCCTCTCCATTCCTCTCTCTAAAAAAATCAATAAAATATATTTTTTAAAAAAATCTTTATTGATTTCAGAGAGAGAATCATTGATTAGCTGCCTCCTGCACTTCCTAAACCCCAAATGGAAAGGAATTCATTCGTGTATTCTTCTAGTTGTGTTTCCATTATAACACGGAGATTTCTGGCTCATTTATGCAGGTGCTTGGTGTGAGCAATGGATTAGATTTATATACACACACTCGTGCGCACACACACATGCTTGGGGGAATCTCTTTTTTTAAAATTATTTTTATTGAGATATAGTTCACATACCATAAAATTCAGCCTTTACTAGTAAGTGTGTACAATTCAGGTTTTTAGAGTATTCACAAAGTTTTGCAACCACCACCGCTACAATTATTTATATATACACATACATGTATATATCAGCGATTTTCAACCCGCGTGCCGCAAGAATTTTTAAAATATAGTCAGGGGCACTGACCTCTTTTCCCTTTGATTGTCAAAGAAAAAAATGACAACAGCCAACACAGCAATAGCTTGTTTAGTATGAATGAATCAAAATTGTGCCTAGTTGTTTTTTTAATCAGATTGGCAAAAATATATATATTTTGATGTGCTGCAGAATTTTAGTAATTAGGTTATGTGTGCCATGAGATAAAAAACATTGAAAATCAGTGGTATATGTACATTTACATATACACTGAGTGGCCAGATTATTATGACCACCTGACATTGGTAGGCAAATTAGCTATAATTTCGTGCTGAAGTTGCTAGAGGGCCAGATCATTATAAACGTCTAAATAGCACAACATACCTAAGTATCATTGCTGATCAAGTTCATCCTATCATGTTGATGGCGTATCCCAATGGAGATGGCTTCTTCCAACAAGACAATGCGCCATGCCACGGTGCTCGTATTGTGCAGGAGTGGTTTCAAGAACAGGAGGGAGACTTTACCTTGCTTAGGTGGCCACCACAATCACCAGATCTCAATCCAATTGAGCATTTGTGGGACGAAGTTAAAAGAGCCATCAGGCAGCTGGTTCCACAACCATCAAATCTCACAGAACTGGACAGTGCTATTCATCAGGCCTGGTGTCAGATTTCTCGAATCATCTTTCAACATCTCATGGAGTCAATGCCAAGAAGAATCGCCGCAATATTGAAGGCAAAAGGTGGCTCAATGAAGTACTGATGGGGTGGTCATAATACACACACACACACATATACTGTATATCCCCATGGCTGTCTAGTTGTCTCAAAAAAATGCCATCTTGCCCTAACCGGTTTGGCTCAGTGGATAGAGCGTCGGCCTGCGGACTGAAGGGTCCCAGGTTCGATTCCGGTCAAGGGCATGTACCTTGGTTGCAGGCACATCCCCAGTAGGGGGTGTACAGGAGGCAGCTGATTGATGTTTCCCTCTCATCAATGTTTCTAACTCTCTATCCCTCTCCCTTCCTGTCTGTAAAAAATCAATAAAACATATTTTTTTAAAAAATGCCATCTTTCTGCCAAAACCGGTTTGGCTCAGTGGATAGAGCGTCGGCCTGCGGACTGAAGGGTCCCAGGTTCGATTCCGGTCAAGGGCATGTACCTGGGTTGCGGGCACATCCCCAGTGGGAGATGTGCAGGAGGCGGCTGATCGATGTTTCTCTCTCATCGATGTTTCTAACTCTCTATCTCTCTCCCTTCCTCTCTGTAAAAAATCAATAAAATATATTTTTAAAAAAATGCCATCTTTCTGTCAGAGGTCAGAGATGCCACAGTTGTCCCCAAATATCCAGGTGTTCCGGTGTCCAGTTCTGTGCCGTGGGCCTAATTGTCATCCATCCCCACATGTGGGACACCTTTGCTAACATCAACAGCCCTGGCCCAGGATGGGGGGGTGGCAGGCGAGTGGCCGCGTCTCTTCAAGGCCGTTTATGGGCGGGCTTTGCCTTCGCCATAGCATTGCTCAACAGAAGTAAACACTTCGGTCCCCAGCGACTGAGACGAAACCAGCCGGGCAGGAGGAGAGCCAGCAGGGCGTTCTGGGAAGAAGAGGTACCAGGAATCAGGATACACCCACGCGTGGGTCCCCCCATCTCTTCTCCTGTCTTCCCAGCCCAAGGTGGGGGCCCTCCCCTCCTCCGGACATGTCCTCCCTGCAGAGGAAGGACGAGGGGCCCTGGGCCAGGGAGTGTCCCTTCCCGCTCTGCGACCAGGAACGCACCAGCACAGCTTGGTGGAAGCAGCCGGCGGTCTGGGAGGTGAGGCCAAGGGTGTCCAGCGCCTGCCGAGCGAAGTCTTCGGAGCTCAGTAACAGTGTCCGGTACTTTACGTCTTTGGTCAAACTTGACTCGATCATGAAGGGGCTCACCGTCTGCAGGAAGCAAGGAGCTAAGGAAGGGGAGAACTCCCATCTCACCCTGGCTTAGCTCCCAGGCTCTTTGAAAATCCCAGAGTCCCGCCCTAGCTCAGTGGATAGAGCCTCTGCCTGCAGCCTGAAGGGTCCCAGGTGGCGGGCTCGATCCCCAGTAGGGGGGCGTGCAGGAGGCAGCCGATCAATGATTCTTTCTCATCATTGATGTTTCTATCTCTCTCCCTCTTCCTTCTTCTCTGAAATCAATAAAAATAGATAAAATAAAAATAAAATAAATGCAAGTCTCTACTTTAAAATTTTTTAAAAAAATAAACACAAATAAATAAAAACATATTTTTATAAAAAAGGAAAAAAGAAAATCCCAGAGTCCCACCCACTTGCTGCTCTCCCACTGGGGACTCAGACAGCCCGCCCCTCCAGGCCCCGCCCCCAGCCCGCCCCTTCAGGCCACGCCCCGCAGAGGCCACGCCCCCTGCAAACACTCTCCGCTGGGGAGGCTGCTCCACTGCAGTCCTTCAGAGCCTCCTCCACTGTGGCTGAGCTCCTCCCCCCGCCAGAGCCCCTCGCCTCCGGAGCTGCCACTCGGTCACGGTCACGTCCCTTAGGAGTCAGGCACCTGCACGATGACTCCTTGGGAGCAGTACTCCGCGCCCACTGCCTGCGAGAAGTTTCGCACAAAGGCCTGTGGAGGAAGGAGAGGGAGGACCCCAGGCTCGTGAGCCTCGCTGTGCAGAGGCCTCCAGCCCAGCCTTGCCCCCGCACCGACCAGAAAGCCCCCAATGTCCCGCCCCAAGTCCTCACCTTAACCCCCGAACGCTTCGGCGTTCCACGCCCTCCCGGTATTCCCCTACACCCACCCTCTACCCCACCCGCCAGCCCCGATCTCACTCCCACCTCCTGTTCTCTCTTCCCCGAGCCTCCGTTTCTCTTAAAAACAAACAAACAAACAAACAAACAAACAAACAATCCCTGCTGGGCTGTGCCCAGGTGACACGCGCGCACACACGCATTCAGGGCTATGGCAGGGCGGCCCTCCGCGGTCTGTGGGGCCTGGGTACCTTGGAAGCGGCGTAGGCTGATAAAAGTGGACAGGGCTTCTTGTCAGTGAATGAGGAGATGTTAATGATGATGCCTTTGCGCCTGGAGGAGGAAGCATTCGTGGAAAGGTGATTCCCCCACCTCCACCCCTGAGCCATGTCCTAGTCCGAGAAATGTCAGAGGGACAGGGGCGAGCTGGAAACGCGGCTGGGTCAGCAGGGGAAGGGGGAAGCCCGGAGGTGGGATGGAGGAGGCGCCAGAGGGGAAGAGGAAAGGCCTGCCTCTTACCTGGAGACCATCTGGGGCAGGACAATTGCGGTCATCTGCAGAGAAGAGTGGGAAGGGCCCCGTTTTCCAGTCCTTTCTCCTGCCCCCTCCCCCTCAAGTTCACGCCCATCCCCCCACCTTCTCCTGGGGAGTATTCCCCTAGCGCCTTCTCCATGGGCGGGCAGTGGGGGGACCACCCCGAGTGGGCAGAGCTATGCTGACCGTGGACTGAACTCCTCCTCGCCCAGGCTTACCTGGGCCACAGACATGATGTTGCAGTTTATGACGTCAGAGAGTCTCTGGGGAAGAAACAGAACCATAGTCGTCCCTCCATCAACCCTGCCTCCACCCCCACCTTTTCTTATTTCCTAGCTTACTTTTCTTTTAAGATGGACACTTTTTTTTTTTTTTTTAGAATTTACAATGTGCATACCCTTTGACTCATCAACTCCATGTCTGGACATTCATTCCTTTCCAAGGTACTCACACATGTGGGGAATGAATTCAATAGAAAGATATTGTTTGCAACACTATCTGTTTGGGGCTGTCACAAATAATTTATCTAGAAACACTCCTGAATGTGTCTTTGGAGCACATGTGGGCTCATACAACCAGGAGTGACATGGGGGGATGAGAGAGCATGCATATTTCCAACCTTAAGAGATACTGCCAGTTTCCCCAAAATTGTCCAAATTGATATGCCCACTAGCAGAGTTTAAGAATTCTAGTTGTGCCACATCCTGACAACACTTGGCATTGCCAACACTTTTAGTGTTAACCATTTTAGTGGCTGTGCAGTTGTACCTCATTCTGGTTTGAATTTGCGATTCTCTAATAAGAATGAGGTTGAATAAGTTCTCATATATTTATTGGCCATTTGGATTTCCTCTGTTGTAGAATGCCTGTCAATATGGCTCCCATTTCCACTGGGTGTTCGCATTTTTAATAGATAGATAGCCCTGGACAGTTATGCTCGGTGGCTTGAGTGTTGGCCCTCGGACCAAAGGGATTCCGGATTGATTCCCAGTCAAGGGCACATACCTGGATTGCAGGTTCAATCTTGGTCACACGTGCATCTGTTTGCATGATCATTTCTTTGGTTTATGGTCATGATTTTTCTTCTAATATTCCTCTTATATTTCACTGAATGCTGTATATTTAATATAAATAACTGTATTGTTGATTTGAGGTTTTGGTCTCAAACCCATGTTGACCCTTGAACAACATGGGTTTGAATTGAATGGGTTAATTGGAATCACAAATCAATGTCTCTCAGCACCACCTTGTAGGGAAATATTGCTCCAAATGTCAGATCTATATCTTTGGATTCTCTTTTCCCCAAAATCTTGGTGCTACAATTCCTCGTTGCTTTAGGAATAATGCCCTCAGTTATTTTTTATTATTTTTATATTTTTTGTTCATCCTCACCCAAGGATATTTTTCCCATTGATTTTTAGAGAGAGTGGAAGGGAGGGGAGAGAGAGAGAGAGAGAGAGAGAGAGAGAGAGAGAGAGAGAGAGACATCAATGTGAGAGAGACACATTGACTGGTTACCTCCCTCAGGCACCTGGACCAGGGGCAGGGATCCTGCAATCCAGACACCTGCCTTTGACCCAGAATCGAACCCACAACCCCTTAGTCTGCAGGCCGATGCTCTAACCACAGAGAAAACCGGCTAGGGCCTTAAACAGTTATTTTTAAAATATTTTTTCATTCTCATTTGCAGAGTTAGTCTCAAACAATGACCGCCTCTAATACCAGAGGCAGAATACACAACTGGCCTCTTTAAATTTGATAAAATGAGCAAGTGCATTTCTTTGAAATAATAATATTTAACATTTAAAAGCCATCCCTATTGCCTGGCTGGTGTGGCTCAGTGGTTGAGCGTCCACCTGTGGTCGAGCATCCACCTATGAACCAGGAGATCACAGTTCAATTCCCAGCCAGGGCACATGCCTGGGTGGCTGGCTCCATCCCTAGTAAGGGGCCTGCAGGAGGCAGCCAATCAATGATTCTCTCTCATCTTCGATGTTTCTATTTCTCTCCCCCTCTCCCTTCCCCTCTGAAATCCATAAAAATGTACAGTAGGGCCTTGACTTACGAGTTTAATTCGTTCCATGACGGAGCTCGTAACTCAAATTACTCGTATGTCAAATCAAAAAGTGAACGAGTGAGACACGTGATGCTGGGCTGATGTTGTGGCGTTCACTGTGACATTCGCTGCGCCAACTAGCGGTGGGGTATCTGAAGCTGGCTCCTAACCCGAATTTTAGCTTGCAACTCAAAGCAAAATATCAGCGGAGAGACTGGCTCGTATCTCGAAAAACTCGTTAATCGGGACACTCGTAAGTCAAGGCCCCACTGTATTTAAAATAAAAACGGGAAGAAAGAAAAAAGAAGCCGTGGGATTCAAGAACGATCCCAAGGGACAATGTAGAAAACCACAGACTGCGAGCGGCAGGCACTGGTTTCCCAGGTGGGCCATTCCCCGCTAACGTTGGCACCCGGCGATCGGAAAGGGCAGAAGCAGAGAACCTGAGCACTAGTCCTGGGTGGGCGATGCAGAGGGCGCCCCCATCGCGTCCTGGACATCAGAGACGCGCAGCTTTGAAAACCACTTTCCAGCGGAAGGCATATAAATACACAGGGTGCCTCCTTCCGCAACCCACAGGCCGCGTGGGTTTCCAACAGGGGGCAGTAGCGGGCGCAGGAGCGCAGAGCGGGCGCGGACTCGGTTCACTCACTTTGGCGACGTCCTCACGGTCCAGCAGCCTCACCAGGGTGTTTTCATACAACATGCCCACGTTGTTCACTGAGCGGGAGGAGACAAGCTGTTTGTGTCGCTCCAGCAGCCCCAGAGAGACCGGTTCGGGGCAGAGGGAGGGCGACCCCGGAGGGTTTCGGGTCCGGGTGAGCATGGGGGCCCTTGAGGGCGCGGCTCCTCCGAGCGGGCTGGACATACCCAGGACTCCGATCTCCAGGTCCCTCAGTCCTGTCCTAATGGCCGCGTAGATCTCCAAGCCACCGGTGAAGTCCGCCTGGATGACTCGAGTGACCCTGCCATGAAGCCGCTCTGGGGAGAGGCAGTGGGAGCCAGGCCCTGAGCTGGAACCCAGTCCCAGTTGTGCCCCCCTACCCCTGTCCGCGGGGTTCAGCCCCAGCCCCTGCTCCATCCTTCCTTCCCTGGGCCCAGATGCAGCAGAAGCCCCGCCCCGCCCGGCCACGCCCCATTGCCACGCCCTCCTCCAGTCCCAGCCCCAGTTCCCAACCTTCCCAGCCCAGGACCCCCACCACCCCCACCACCCCCACCACCCCCATCACCCCCACCACCTCCACCCCAGCGGCTGTCACCTATCTCCTTCGCCTCATGCTCCAACTTGCTCAGGTTGCGACTGATGAGGACGACGTTCAGACCTCTCCGGGCGAGCTGGGGGGAATTTAATCATTTATCCATTAACTAGAGGCCCGGTGCACGATATTGGTAGGGTCCCTAGGCTTGGCCAGCCATCAGGGCCCATCAGGTCTCCTTCCTCCCCACATCCCACCTCCTCCTTCCCTCGCCACCCTCACGCCTCCACACAGCGTGTCCCCCCCCCCCCCACACACACACAGGTCGCCCACCGTGGTCCCCGCCACCCCCTGGTGGTCAGCACACGTCATAGCGAGCAATCCACCTCCCCTTCTCCAGGTGGAACTCCAGAGGGGACACTTGGCATATTAGCCTTTTATATACGGTAGAGAGATGCCACCAATATGTACTGTGCACTGGCTGCGAGTTGCACAGTGTTGTCAGCACTGTGGCTGTGGAGGGGAACAAAACAGGAAACCAAAAACCTGCCCTCAAGGAACATGCCTCTGGGGAAAGAGCAATCCAGGCAGATGGAGCAGCAAGGGCGAAGGCCCTCGCACAAAGGCTGGCAGCCTAGAGGACAGCCAGGGGTCCCTGAGCCCTGGGAGAAGGGGCCAGTTGTATGGTAGCTCAGTGCGGTGGGCAAGGGACCAGATCATAGAGCCTTGAATGCCCCAGGAAAGACTTGAGCTTTCATGCTTAATGATAGAAGCATCCAATCATTGGGCCTGGCCGGTATGGTTCAGTGGTTGGGCATCGTCCCATGCACCAAGAGGTAACTCGATCCCCAGCAGGCAGCGTGCAGGAGGCAGTCGATGGATGTTTTTCATGGACGTTTCTCTCTCATGGATGTTTCTTTTTCCAAAAAAAAAATAATTTTATTGATTTCAGAGAGAAAATGAGAGAGAGCTAGAAACATCAATGATGAGAGAGAATCACTGATCTGCTGGGGATCGAGCCCGCAACCCAGGCATGTGCCCTGACCGGGAAGCGAACCGTGATCTCTTGGTTCACAGGTGGAAGCTCAACCACTGAGCCACGCCTGCGGCCTCTTTTTATTTAATGTATTTTTATTGATTTCAGAAAGGGAGAGGGAGAGAGAGATAGAAACATCAATGATGAGAGAGAACCACTGATCAGCTGCCTCCTGCATGCTCCACACTGGGGATCGAGCCCACAACCCAGGCACATGCCCCACCAGGAATTGAACCGTGATCTCTTGGTTCACAGGTGGAAGCTCAACCACTGAGCCACACCAGCAGGCATGGGTGTTTCTATCTCTCTCTCCCTCTCCCTTCCTCTCTAACAAAATCAATAAAAACAGTTTAAAAAATAATTCAATCATTCGAGTGTCCGCTCCTTTTCTCATTCATACGTTTATGTGAAATGTGTTTACTGGACCTGCTCATTGCTGGGTGGTGCTGAGGACACAGTGCCCATGGCAGACTCACCGCCTCCTCTCCACCCTCCCCACACCCCCGCCCCCAGTTCTAAACACAAACCTGCCCCTCCCTCTCCTGCTCAGAACCTGCCTTGAGCCCCGTCCAGGGTGGCTCAGGTGACTGGAGCATCTTCTTGTGCACCAGGTCACGGGTTTGATTTCCAGTCACGGCAAATACCTAGGTTTCAGGTTCGATCCCCAGTTGGAGGGGTGGACAGGAGGCAACCGATTGATGTTTCTCTCTCACACCCATGCTTCTCTCTCTCTCCCTTCCTTCCTCTCCATCTTCAGCCATAGTTTCTGCCAGGGGCCCTTTCTGGGAGTCCAGGCAGAGCAAACAGTTCCTCTAGCCCCAAAAGCAGCCCCTGGATTTCCCTGCCTCTGAGCCTTTGCACATGCTGCTTCTTCTGCCCTGAAGGCCTCTCCCCCTGACACAGAGTTAGCAAATATTTGTGGGATGGGTGCCAGGTAGGATGTTGGTGCATGTCTGTCCCTATGTTGCATAATGTATGTATGAGGGTGACATGTTATATGGGACAAAGTGTCCGTCAGCTTTGGAGGGAGGCTGCACACAGAAATCTCAACAGCTCCAAGCATCTGAGAGGCTGACGCTGTGAAGGTCATTCATTCAGTCAACAAACATTTGCCTGGCATCTGCTAGTGCTCAGCCCAGTGTTGGGTGGCCCTGACCAAGACAGCCACAGCCCCGCCCTCAGCACAGTGGTAGGACAGACCAGTCCCAGACAGGGATGACCCAGAGTGGCCTCACTACCGTAGGTAGGTTAGCTTGCTGCTGGGGTCCGGCCGATCGGGACTGGGTGAGAGGGCCTGACACGCCCTGGAGCTCTCCCGCAGTCCCTCCCTGGCTGGCCGGCCCCCATCAGCTCCGATTGCTGGCCAGGCCGAGGGATCCCACCTGTGCACGAATTCGTGCACCGGGCCTCTAGTATAGGTGTAAATACTCTCCCCTCCCTCCAGGGTTCCCCTTCTCCCCGAGCTCTCGCTTCCCCTCCATTCTTGCCCACCCAAGGGCATCACTCCAGCTTTTCTCCCATCTTCTGCCACATCAAAACTTCTCCTTCTTCCAGATTATTCCCACCAGCATGCGAACCTGCCAAATCGCTCCCCTCTTCCCGGTCCAGGCGTTGCCTGTCTCTTATCATCCCACTCCCCTTCCCTCAACCTTCTGAGAAAGGACTGTCTCCACTGGTTCTCCTTCCGGATCCTCGGCACCCACTCCAATTGGGCCCCTGTCCCCACCATGTCACCCCAACCACTTTGGTCACCAATGACTTCCATGTTGGTCAAGCCAGTGCTGTATTCTCAGCAACTCCCAGCAGCAACCAACACACTGGTCACCCCGTCTCCTGGCAACGCTCCTCACCCGGCTTGTAAGGCCTCCCCTCTGCCCCTGGTTTTCCTCCCACTCCATCCCAGTTCTCGTCACTGCCCATCTGCTATGCCTCTTAATTTTGGGTGCTCCAGGGAGCACTTTGGGGTGACTCAGAATGTGCTCCTCTTCTCCAGCTATACCCATTCCCAAGGTCATTTCATCTAGTCTTGTGATGTTAAGTGGCATTGAGCCCTTGCCCGTGTGGCTCAGTTGGTTGGAGCATCGTCCCATACATCAAAAGGCTGTGGGCTCAATTCCCGTTCAGGGCACATACCCGGGTTGTGGGTTCAATCCTTGGTCAGGGTGCATATGGGAGGCAATTGATTGATGTTTCTCTCTCACATTGATTTTCTCTCTCTCTCTCTCAAATCAATAAAGAGTAAATAAACAAATAAATGGCATTGAGATGTCGATGCTTAAACATACATCTCCACATTAACATTCCCTCTGAACCCCAGAGCGGCACACTCAGCTGCATACTTCTCACCTTGGACACCTAATTGCATCTCAGACTTAAAGTGGCCAAAACTAAACTCCTGTCTGTTTCCCAACAACCTGTTCCTCCCTCAGTTCAACCCCATCTCAGTAGTTGCAGCTCCATTCTTTGAGGTGTTCTGGTAAAAAAATCTTGTAGTACTATATTTTGTGAGTCCAGTATCACTCTCATACCAAACCCCAAAGATATTACAAGAAAAGAAAACTACAAACCAATATCCCTCATAAACTTGGACACAAAGACCCTCAACAAAGTATTGGTAAATCAAATCCAGCAGTATATATATATATCTCATTAATTCAGGGTTGTTTCAATATTTGAAAAATCAATCAATGTAATTTACCATATAAACAGACTAAAGAAGAAAAAGCATATGATCAATAAACAGAAAAATTATTTTACAAAAATCAACCCCAGCCCAGCCAGTGTGATGTTCACTCTGACCACTCAAACATCATATTGAATTTCCTAGCCAGTGCAATACGGCAAGAAAAAGAAATAAAAAGTATACAGATTGGAAAGGCAGAAATAAAATGATCTGTTCACAGGTGGCATGATTGTCTACATAGAAAATCCCAAGAGACCCAGCTAGTGTGGCTCAGTGGTTGAGGGTTGACCTATGAACCGGGAGGTCATGGTTTAATTCCCATATGCCGGGTTTCGGGCTGGATCCCCACTGTGGGGTGTGGAGAAGGCAGTCGATCAATGATTTTCTCTCATCATTGATGTCTCTCTCTCTCTCATCTTCTTCTCTGAAATCAATAAAAAATATATTTTAAAAAAAGAAAAATCTGAAGAAAAAAAAAAAAAGCTATAAGAACTAAGAAGTGAGCCCTAGCTGGTTTGGCTCAGTGGATAGAGCGTTGGCCTGAGGATTAAAGGATCCCAGGTTGGATTCCAGTCAAGCACGCATGCCCAGGTTGTGGGCTCGGTCCCCAGTGCGGGGTGTGCATGAGGCGGCTGATCGATGATTCTCTCTCATCATTGATGTTTCTGTCTCTCTCTCCCCTCTCCCTTCCTCTCTGAAATCAATAAAAATAAAAAAAATAAAAAGAACTAAGAAGTGAGTTTTAGCAAGGTTTCAGGCTATAAGGTCAAAAGTTTGGAGTCATACCTTAATCCAACCTTTTCCATAAATCTTATCTGCTCTTCCTTCGAAATCAATCCAGAACCCACTACTTCTCACCTCCAGTGTTATCACCCTGGTCTAAGTTGCCAGCATCTCTTGCTTAATTTTTTTTTTTATATTTTATTGAATTTTTCACAGAGAGAAAGGG